CGAATATGAAATGCAAATTGTATTATTTTTGCACTTTTCGTACAAATATTCAGCACATCAATGAATTTCGCACATATGTAAGCGTATGTATGTGTTTTCGCATATGGATGTTGACACTTGCTTTGTTGTCATTTGTGTTGTTATTCACACTTATTCCACTTTATTGTTTCCTCGCCGCTGTTATTCGATTTTCATTCGTTCAATTGTGATTTCTAGTGCGCGGCGCTTTAATTACTGTCGGCGGCAGTGACAGCAACACCGACAGCGACAGCAACAACGACACCAACCGGCGCGGGCTGGCTGATATTAGCAACTTTGCACTTCTGCATCAATTAGTTGCATTTGGCGTCACCCGCAAACAAATAAAATGCTAACCCCCTTTCATACATACATACCTTTATTTATGCATAAATACAAACCCATAATACATATGTATGTACATGCGTATGTATATAGACTTATTAATAAATTTTGCTATAATTCGGATGTTTCCCCGAACAAAGTGATTTCAGTCAGGAATTTCTAGCTGTAAAATATAAATGTATATTCTATAATTTTAGGCTCTTTTGCGGGTAAACATATATGTATGTGTGTCAATAGTGAAGACTATCAGCTGTGCTCACATATTATCGGCAAGTTGTTCATGTCATTTCTTTGTTATCTTTACATACGTATGCATGTATGTATTATATGCAAATGCATAAGCATGTACAGGTATATTATGTACTTACATATGTCCATATATAGATTGTGTGCAATTTGTTGGCTGTATGGCTAACACTTAAGCGTTAATTCGGCGTTAATTATTCGCACATTGATTTTGTGTTTAGGAAACTCCAAATGAGGGTCAAGCTAACTTCATATACATATATGCACAATACATATGCATATTACATACCCATGTATGCAGATGTCTTTTTAGATGACAAAGCAAACCGTGAACAAAATTTTAACATAAATTTGTTTATTTATATTTTTCTTCAGAATACATTATTGAGGACATAAGCATCACATAGCGGTAAAGAGGAAGATGAAATGAAATAGGTTAAAGTTATTGTCAAGTATACAAAACTAATTGAGTTGCAATTTCTGCATGTCAACATTCTCTTAATTACAGTACTTTTAGATACTTATACGCTAATAATTAGAATAAAATAAAGAAATTCAAAAACAACTAAGCCTCTTATCCTTCAACATTTCTTCTTTCAAAATAAGTCATAATAGTTATTAATGTTGGAATTGAAGAATATACTATTTTAGGTGTCAATTACTGTGTGTGAACGTTTTACTGCATTCACATGTATTCTGGCTATTATTTTGTCCTCCATATTGCTCGTCTACTTTGGCACTACTTCTATCTTATCTATGGTTGTTTATTATTAAACTCTTGTTAATATGTGCATGAATTGCACTCACACATTTGCATGTACATACATACATACATAAATGCCAAGTAATACGCATATTTCATAGTATATGTTTATTTAAATATGAATATGAATTTGCATTTCGACACTTTGCAAAAAAATTCTTTTAGATTAGTTATAATTCAGCGCCAGTTAAAAACCTTATACGATCCATAAATATTTTTCGATAATAAGTTCAATCCAAAACGCTTTTGTTTTTCAGATATAACAAATCTACATGGGTGGTCTACATATGTATGCCTTTATACTATTTTCATCGTTTTTATTTCTTATCAGTTTTGGCGCCGAAGTAAGGTTTTTACACTTCAGTGTGTGTGGTCACCCAACATATACTCGATCTTCACGCGCTAATCATGCAAAGTTGCTTAAATGTGTACATATGTGTATACACACCCATACCGTATATGAATACACGTACATAAATATTTTTTGCAATATTTGTGAATTCCTCGCCATAATAATATTAGTCGGGTAGAGTTTATTGTTTTAGTAAATATTCGTTGTTCGATTTCTGTTTCAACACGTATGGCTATTTTATTAGCCTCTTAATGGTTGGTACCTGAGGAGCATGCGAATAACATCACAACAATATCACGAGTGAAATCAATAAACCAAAACCGAAGACTATCGGAAAGTAACCTCACTATCATCGAATTCTTTGATACCAGTTGACTTCAAACAACCCAAAATCTTGCATTGCATTAATTTTTTAATTATTAACAATCTTCATCCGAAAATAGAAACAATCTACGAAGTTGCCTTCCAATGATGGATGCTATGAAACAAAAGGAACGACGCATAGTTGCGGAAGTAGTTAGCTAATTTACTTATTGARAAAAAACCGAAAGGTATTCCAAAAATGATTCGAACTTATCACAGCCACTGCAAACCGCCTTTTTAGTCTTCGGAAGGAAATATATAGAAGCGAAAGTTTCATTAAAATATAACATTCCCTTTCGAAATATGGAACTTGACCATTAAAACACATTAATTTCAAGATAATATTCATAAAAACTCAATGAAATCGAAATATGATTCAAACTTCTTGAGCATGGAGAGTAAGTAAGTACCTTCTTAACRGCTATATAAAATATTAGTTTCAGTAAAAAACGTTCCAAAAAGACACAACAATTGTCTCAAATGGCTGAAAGGGTCAATAAAGGAATAAGTTTAACTGGAATGATGTGAATTATTAGGCGAAAACTAGGCGAAAACTCGACGAAACATACACAAGCAGACGATTATGCCACAACTCAAGCAGACAACCAAATTTGTTGGCATACTTTTCAGCCCAGTATACAGATAAGTATGTATATGTAGACTTACTCTTTAATGTGAGTAGCAAGTATCAGCATGAAACCACACCTGTTTAATCGTTCGACGTGTCTCTGGCACTTGTAGTCATGAAGACCCGTTGCTGCTTGCAGATTGCAAAAAGAACAAAACGTAAACTTCGGCTGCATCGAAGCTATAATACCCTTCACAGATGCACTTCATTTACTAACTGTATAACTAGTGGTCCGATCTGAACAATAAGTTCAGATATTGTAGCCTGTACAGGGTATAATGCAGTAAACTGCAGCACGAGCTCAATAAAATCAAACACAAATGCACACACAGACATACATTAACAAGAGGAGTGACGTTGTTACATTAACATCAACAGAGCAAGCAGCTGTGGTGGATTAAGAACAAATCACGCTGAAGTCCACCTGCATTGGGAGTTTGTTTTCTGCTGCCAACCATTTATCCCTGGCACTTGCAGGTGTAGTTATGTACATTGGTTGTGATTTTGTTTGTCAAAACCTAATGAAATTACGAGAATTTGACATAACCGCGCTTTAAAACGAATTTCTGTAGTTTATAACAACTAATCTTCAACATCGATTTTCTTTCTGTTTAATTTAAATTACATTTCGTATTCCTGACAATTTAGAATTCCTTCTTGATTAATATTTCACTTTTCAACAGAACGAACTTATCAGGGAAGCACAGAGACTTGTACCCTAATTTAATGGGGAAAACAYTAATAGGTCGTCAATTAGTCTTATCAAATTGGAAATGGTTAAAACAATAATTGGATGAGATCAAGCGACCTATGTAATATCGTCAAACTGATGAATATTACTGAATTCATTAAACTGGAAGTGTCTGTAATTAGAACTCARCAAAAAAAAGTTCAGTTATTTTTGTACAAAACTCGCTTCGGCCTAGGTAGCTCTCAAAGACTGGTGTGCGTTGCAAAAACCAAAATACTCTCAGACTTTTTGTAGTAATGTAAATTGGATTCGAATCAAATAAAAAATCCAGAGCATGCAAAGTATCCTCACAAAACAAAAGCACTAAACTTGTCGGTCCGATACAAACGTTAACACAACGAATGCACAACCTGTACGAAAGTAATCGCTTCAACGAAATACGCGAATTGCCGTATAGTGCATTGGGCCGAACGAACGACTGATTGCCATACTGACGGTTAAAGTGTGGCAATAAAACCCAGTGGAAGTCACTGTCAGCGCTCGAAAAAGAATTACGGCCRTAAAGACAAAAAATCGCAAAAATAAACAACAATTGAGTCTAAGTTTGAAAACGTGTATCCGTTGRCCGACAGTCTGCTAGTCGCCGTCAATGGTGTTTCGCACGTTTTGCGTGTCTCTTTTGGTCTCCAATGGCTCAAGCTCGGTGAGCCTTAATCTAGTGTCTACTGTACATGCATTTGTGAGTATGTGGGGTTTGCTAGCTTCATCGGCAGTCTCCCCGACCTACACATACATATGTATTTATGTTTTCGAGAAATTTTGTTTGCATGTATTTACTTTGTGTATATGTAATCAGCATGTTCAAAGACGCTCGACCATACGTCGATATTTCAAGTTTATCTTCACAACTTTTTTTGTTGTCGAGATTACCCGTCTGTTGCTGTTTTTCTACTATTCTCTTTTTATTCATACACTATTGGTGTAGGTACGAGTACTTAATTGTTTTTTCTCCGTTTGCGAAATTTTTTGTTTTGACCGTTTGCGCTTGTGCACGCACACAAGATTTTCACACAAACAACGMCAATAATAATGCAGAACTCGGAACAAAGTGAACCGACACAGTCTCGCCTGAAAACCGGTTAATAATATTTGTGCTTATATTAGAAATACACATACGTATGTATCTATATATATTTTCATATATGTACATATGTATGTTCGTGAGTAAGTTCATTCGCAGACGTGTGTGTACTATAGTATGATTCGGTTAACTAAAGCTAAAGTTTTGCTGGCTGGTAAGCATTCAACATGGCTAACTGGTTCATTCGGTTGATATCTGAGGCTTTAGAGACATTCTTATGCCATTTATTTATCCAGACTGAATCTAGAACAATGATCACAACTAACAAGTTCAATTCAATCCGTTTCCCTCCTTTATTTGTGGCTACTGTCCTCATCTAATACCRACCTGCTTGATCAAGTAATTATATCAAAACTACTGCTTATACAATTTGAGAGTTATTCAAGGTACAATTACAAATAAATGTAGATTTAAATTTATCACAATGGATCTATTGTAAATTTCGGTAGTTACCTTTCGTTTCATGTAGAGTATTTCATTTTGTGCCTTTAGAGCTTCCTTGATCTCGACCTCCTTTAGCTCATCCAAAATCTTCTGATATTTTTCTCGATTTTCGACATCTAATGCCACATGTAAATAGTCATGCCAATTGCGTGAATCGAAGCCCCAATGACAAGTTCGATTTTCAACTTCCCGATGAACATGGCCCACAAACTTCTGTGGCGAAAACCATCCCTTGCATTCCAGACACATGATGCAAGTTGGCTTTGTGTATGAGTAGAGTTCGGGTGTACAGATACCATCACATTTCCCAAAACAGCGGTGATATACTTTGAAGGAAATGGCACCTTTCGGGATGTCGTCATCGCTAATGTAATTATTTCGATCTACCCGATGTAAAAGTGCTGCGCACAAACGCTCTGCATCCGTGCGTGTTATCAAACCGGACGCCTTCACATCCGTAGGCAAAATTTTAGCTGCTTTGAATTCCAACAGTTGATCAGGTGAACATTGTGAACAATAGATGCCCAATTCATCAAAGATGCGATTTATTTGATCAAGTGTAAAATCGGCTAGTACATTGTTTAGAAACTGAGGCAGACAYAAACGCATTTCTCCGCCAAGCGAGAAACAGCCAATAGTTTTTCCTTCCAATCGCGTTTCGTATAATACACCAGAGCCCGAGTCTGGTGCGGTAAAGATAGGTTGTGACAACTCCGGTGGTGGGGGTGGTATAATTTTAACTGTAGTAACAGGAGGCTGAGCAGGAACTGTTTGGGATTGAGGTTGCGTTGTTTGTAACGACATCGACAATGGAAGTGGCAATGATTGCGATGGCAATATTTCACTCAGCTCATGTGGTTCGGGAGAGCTGAGAACTTCTTTTTTAATCAGCGGTGCGACCGGTGGCAAGGCGGATTCCGCATTTGGTGAATTCAAGCAAGATTGTGATGATACTATTTGCGGGCAGTTAGACGATATTTTGTGGGCACTACTGGAGGAACCGTTTGATGACAAATTACCAACCGACAGGTGCCCAGAACAAAGATTACGAACGCCACCAGTGTTTAGGTCTGTGTGATTCCCACCGCTGCCACTCACGCCAGTCAAAGTGACATCAAGCGGGCAATTGGGGCCGGTCTGGCAGCCAGAAACGGGCAACGCATGACCAGGTCCTTGCAAACTTTTAGGTGCACTTGTCTGATACTTTTTGAGCACTGTGTGAATATTGGGTGTAACGTACTCAGTCATTTTTTTATTATCCGTTTTTGAACACTTCCTTCTTACGAAGGTAGTGCTGAAGCGGCAGTCTCAGAGACTAATAAAAATTTGAGTAACTTCAAGTCGCACACCAACAGAACAGTCCAATTTACCGACTTTAACTTATTTACAGTKKTTCACATTCAAAAATTTCGACTTTAATTGCACTCTTCTCCACTTGTACAATTTTAATTGATTTGTTTACACTTTGGCACATCATGCAGTGGCACAAGTTTAATATTTCATTATATTTCTTTTATTTCATTAATTATGTGCCTTTTAATACTATTTTTTTATATTTTGAAATTTTGTATACACCAAATTTTCTTTATATTACTTCTATTTTTTACTGCTTTAATTATTTTCGCATACAATTCCGACGGCATTTTCGTAGTCAGTCATTTTCATTCGTAAATGCGACACACAGCACCAAGACCGCTTCGCTACCACTTACACTCTCTTTCACCCYCTGCTTTTCTGTGCTTTTGCAACTTTCGTTTTAATTGCCTGTTTGCGCACTTTACAAACAGCCCGGTTTTTGGCAGCGACGAAACTAAATAAAAACAAATAATTAAAAGACTGTGCCTATTTTTAAACTCTCAGGCACAGCAAAAATTAGAAATATTTMTTTAATCCTCATGTCTTTATTTTGATTTTGTATTTTATTTTACTCCTTTTATTTATTTACATTATTATTTGCTGCTTTGAGCAACCTTTGCACATAATATACAAATTTCGGAAAACATTATATGACATCTACACATGCACTGCAAATTCGCAATCACTGCACATTTCACTTATTGGGGCGACGTATCTTCACAAATAGTTATATTCATATGCGCATACATTCATACATATGAACATATATGTGTGAGTAAAAATGTATGCGTTTGTACGGTTGAGTGTATCTGCGCATGCAAAATAATATGCTGAACAAACGACCTCGCGACTGACCGTTCGACTGATGACCAAATTGTGGCGCTCTACGGCTGAAATGTCAAAAATCCAACTGGATTCTGCTACTTCTGCTGTTCTGCTTTTCTTTTCTTTCTATTCTTTATTTCACTCGTTCCGAACACTCTTTTGACAGTTTTGTACTACCGAGAGAGCGCGATAATGTATACCGATACGAATTATTTGAGTGGCCCCAAAGAGCGAAGCAGTGGCTGCGATGCTGTGCGGCTAAATGCCTAATAAGTTGGTTTGATTCGGGCTGATTGGGGACGGAATCGGCAACAGTGGCCGCATTGCTAGCTTGCGCGTGTTTTACTCTCTCAGTCGAATTTTCGTTGCGTTCAGTTCTTTTTTGCTTTGTCTCCTGGTTGTTGTTCTTGCACTTTATTTATTTGCTGTTTTTCTGATTAGAAAATACAAGAAAAAGTATATACAATTATATGTACACAATTATATTGGAGACGCAGAGGCAGACATATGTCTCGTATGTTTGTCGACACTAGTCGAAAATACTGACAAAATATTCAGCGAAAGGGAGGGGCGGCTACATGAGGAGAAAGCACAAACAAATTAGGCGACCAAGTCGCAATTTTAAACACCCTGTCTGTTTTTTTCATCTACGACTGGCTCGTTGATATTCCAAAACATTTTTTTAATAATGTATACATACGCATATATGTATGTATTGCATTTGTTTTTGCTATTGTGTGTTTGTTTCCGCCGATGTATGTATGTATGTAAGTACGTTTGGCACTTTAGTGTGTAAAATATTGCCAAAGATTTCATTTACTCACTCTAAACACACATCCATATATACTACAAATTTTTTTCACAAAATTTTATTTATCACATTTTTCTATGCATTATTTAATCCACTATGTAATGTAATGTAAACTTCAACATGTTCTGTACGTAGGTTTTTAGTATTCGCAGCATTTCACATTTCGCCGATACCTTGTTACGTATTTATCACCATTTTTATATTTTGCGATTTCCAAATTAATCAATTCTCTCGAAGACTTTCGACTTTACATTTTCAATTATATCCGTTTTATACATACATATGTGTACAATAAGCACTTAAAAACCTTTATTTCAATTCACTTGGCAAGTTTCTTTACACCATTATTGCCTTTCACGTCAATGAAATATTCGTTTATCTTTAAATTGTTTTGCGAAATACCCGACGCACACTACCTTCTTCAACGAAATAAACAGAACAACAATACGGCGTTATCTACGACTCTGTGACAGCAAAGTTAGCGGCGACATCATTCGGATAGACCACGACAATCAGACTTCGTATCTCCCAGATACATTGGGCGCCGCCATCATGCACTACCGACCATTGTTGGCAACAGAGAAACTGACAGAAAGTATCAGCAGAGAACGTACATATTCATGTTCTCTAACATTAGTTCGTTGAGTGGGAGTATGATTAATATATAACCAGAGAATATAAAATATGTAAAGCATGGTATGACAGGAGAATATATACAAATATAACCATGATTCAATTATAGAAGCTTGTGTCGATACGGAGCGTGCTTCCTCTTACGAAAGAAGTGTTTGTATCCATAATGTTAAAATCAGTTGCTTTTTRATTTTTTCACTAATTGTTTGTTTACATTTCGATGATTATGTATTATTTCCATTCAGTTATCACTAAAAAAAAAACATATTTTTTGAATCGTATAAACAAATCAGTTGATTTTGACATTATGCATCCAATTGAATCAACTGRATAATTTTTAATCAAAGTTTTTTATGTCATTAGGTATTTATTTTCATGCAAATATTTCAACTATATAACGCTCTCATGAGCAGAAAATGTGAAATGAAGTGATGGGTATATTGGATTCCCTTTATCAAATGAAAACTATTAATTTGAAAGCTACAAATATTTTTGCCAACTGGCAACATAAAAGAATAATTGTGAATGTTCAGCTAGAAGAAGAAGTAAAAAACAAGGTCAGCAATTTTGGCGGGTTTTAACATTTTATTGTAGGAAACATCGTCTAAAAAGTTTTCCATCCGTCCAAAATATTAAGTTTACTAAAAATGGATCTAAATGATGCAGCCCTAACTTGTGCCGTCACTATTTTATGGACTAATGCAGTGGGTGTGACAGGGAAAAAAATGTTTTTTAAAACAGCTACATTACGTTTAATACGAAATGATGTAAGGGAACTTTTCATTGAAGTCGCCGGTGAAAAAGCTAAACCAATAAAATTCAAGCTGAAAAATGTGATGGTACATAAAAAATTTATGTCGGAAGGCAAAGCAACAATTAATTTCAAAATTGAGAACTGTTCAATGTATTTGTCAAATGCGCCACCTGGCACCTTAATGTATTTTCTCCGCACGATATTTATAAAATTAAATGGTGCAGTTCATAAGGATGAGGCTACTAGTCAAAAACAATTAAGAGCTCATATGTTGTCAGGAAAGCCTAGTAATTTTGAAGAGGTCTCTCCTATAACAACAACAGAGATGATTATGGCTAGGAAAAAGGCTGGTTTATTAGGACGTGGCTCCGCGACAACGCCATCACCACTGGCTGCTAAAAAACGACGATTCGATGATTTTAAGATGGATGATGGAAAGGTGACCTCTAATGCACCAGCAGCGAAAAGGCTTTATCAAGATAAAAGTACACCTTCGCTAGGAATGGAAGACAATGTGAAACTTTGTGAGGAACAATGGGAAGTTTTACGTGCATGCACTTCAGGCAAGAACGTGTTTTTCACAGGCTCTGCAGGTACAGGGAAAAGTTTTCTGTTACGAAAAATTATTTCAGCTCTACCACCAGACGGTACTATGGCGACTGCGTCTACAGGTGTTGCTGCTTGTCTGATTGGTGAGCGAAAACAAAAGCTATCTGTCACGTTGTTTATTTTTAATTTTTTTAATTTAAATTCAGGTGGCACAACCTTGCATGCTTTTGCCGGTATTGGCGGTGGTGACTATGGACTAACACGTTGCATTGAATTAGCCTCGCGAGCTGCAAGTGCTCAGATTTGGAGGAAATGTAAAAGACTCATTATAGATGAAATATCTATGGTGGATGGACAGTATTTTGAGGTTTGAAAGCAAATTTTTATTATATATATTAAACTGAGAATATTTGTCAACATTTTAGAAAATAGAAGCAGTTGCAAGACATGTGCGTAAAAATGACAAACCTTTTGGCGGAATACAACTGATACTATGCGGAGATTTCTTACAACTACCGCCTGTGGTAAAAAATGAAAACAATTCGAATCCAACGCAACGTTTTTGCTTCCAATCAAACGCCTGGGAGAAATGCATACAGTGTGTCTTTGAGTTGAAAGAAGTACACAGACAATCCGATCCAGAATTTGTAAATATATTAAATCATATACGAATTGGGCATGTTAATGAAGAAATTACAAAACGTCTACGAGCTACATCTAAACAAAAGATTGAAGGTGATGGTATTCTAGCAACTCAACTTTGTTCACACACAAATGACGCGCAATCTATAAATGAAACAAAACTTGAAAGTTTAGAAGGCGAAAACATTTTATTTCGGTCTGAGGACTCCGATGCGAATATGGTGAAACAATTGGACTCACAATTGCAGGCAACTTCACAGCTATATCTAAAAATTAATGCTCAAGTAATGCTATTAAAAAATATTAATATATCTGCGGGTCTGGTAAATGGAGCCCGTGGTGTTGTGGTGCGCTTTGAAAAGGGACTACCAGTAGTTCGATTTAAAAATAATCGTGAATACGTTTGTAGTCATGAGAAATGGATTATAAAAACAGCATCGGGAGGTACAATAACACGTAGACAAGTGCCTTTGAAATTAGCATGGGCATTTTCAATCCACAAAAGCCAAGGACTGACATTAGATTGCGTTGAAATGTCTCTGTCGAAGGTATTTGAAGCTGGGCAGGCATATGTTGCTTTATCACGCGCGAAATCATTGGACTCATTACGAATATTAGATTTCGATCCAAAACAAGTTTGGGCCAATGCACAGGTCCTTCAGTATTACAAGCTATTTCGTAGACGTCTACATGACAGTACAATGATACCACTAGGTGCAAAGAACATAAAACGTGAAAAAAATAATGATCCAAAATCGAGTGCTTTACCCAAATTGAAGAAGAGTTTAATGGATAAACCAATAGTATCTATTAGCTAACAATTACGCAGCTGCTTGTTTAGATATTGAGAAAAACATTATATATAAAATTATTTTAGCCTTCCGATAACTCAACTGACACTTTTTAAACTGTGTTATGATTATTTAGTTTAAATTCGACTAGCGTATTTTATACATTTTTACTTAGGTACAAGTTGTAAGAGAAATAAAGTGGCCCAACACTTCAAACACTACATTAATACTCAAAGGGCTACTGAATTTACAACATTTTTTAATCTTACTACTGATTTATATTTTCTTTATTAATATACATATTTTTACCAGAAAATTATATTTTTAGTTAAATATGTAATTTTCGAAAACACTGCCTATCATATCGAGTTATGTCAAATGCTTTATATCTTGTACAATACTTTTATTAAAGGACATTATATAATATTACACCATATTATAGCGATTTCAAATTACTGTGCCTACATGGCAGCAAGAAAAGTATACATTACGCTATGTATTGAGTGCATAGAGACAAAACGCAAATGAGTCTTGTTCTTAAAAGTATCATAATTTTGCTTTAATTTCAATGCATAATATTCGTTTGGAAACCATTTTAGTCTTCCTCCGAAACAAAACTAGATGGTATTTCCTCTGTTTTCATTCCACTGCCGACTTGTCCATGTCGACGCTCCCAGATCAAACGATGTTTCTGCTTCATGTATGCACTTTTAGCATTAGCATAGCCACCCAAATCCCCATCTATTATTTCACAAATTCAATTAAAAAGTTATAGATATTTATGAATAAGTTTTTAGTACTTACATTTAATAAACCAATTTTCAGCAGCCTTTTCATATTGTTCTAAAATAGGCTTGCATTTTTTAATATGGTCGGGCGCTTCATACATTGTACAATCTTCGAAACGTTGCCGTAAAATTGATACGATTTCATTTTCAACCATTCGATCCCGGCGAAATTGTTGATCGGCTTCAAAACGACAAACAGCATCGTCAATGTAACACTGATCGATTGTGGGCACACGTTGAAAACGTTGATGATACCACGCTTGTTTCTTCTGATTAGGTTCAACAATTGATTCTGTAAAATGAAATATTTTTTGTTTAATGAAATGTAAACAAACAATTGGGTGCTCAACTTGTTTGTAATTGAGGTTATGTTATTATGTAATGAAGCAATCAAAACCAAAATTGGGATTTAAGAAATTCATAGCTATACAATTATGGAGGAAAGTTTTACACTTTGTATTCCTCATATTATTTACAATGCTTCATTAGAATGCCTACCTCTGAACCATGTTACGGGCCCATCGATAATATTGCTCACTGACTGAGCAAAACTTGCCATCGGGCTCCGAGGTTCCGGCATCGTCTACTAAAAATGCCAAAAGAAGAATAAAATGCATCTTATTTATGTATTTAAAAGTATGTACATTAACAGACGATGCTTACTTTGCGGTAAAACAAAATAATAATTTTCACAATGCCCACAATCCGTGAGTCTAATGTTGCTTATGCTTCAAACAGAGAACGTACATAAATATACGTTCTCTGCAAGTTGTCAAAATTCAGCTGGTAATACGGTTTTTTCTGGTTGGCGTCTTCACTTTACATTCTTCGTTTTTTATTTTTGAATAGCTCTTACATAGTATCTCCGCAGGCAATAATTATTATTCGTTAGTTATTTTGCCGAATAAAACTAATGTCATTCGCAATACTTGAAGGGTTGAAACAAAAATATATAATTTAATAAAAGAAAAATTTAATAAAAAATAATTTTGGAAAGAAATATAACGCAGTCAAATCTTCAATAGCTTTTACAAAATTCCCATTGACCAGATTGAGGTCATTATTTCAATAAAATAATTCAAAATTTCATTATTCGTGCATTTTTAAAAACAATCAACGGAAAAAGGTCTAACCGCCGTGCAAGATACCAGATCAACTAAATTCTCATAACAGTTCTTTATCCTCCTGACAGCTGCTGTCATTGAGTACAACCCCGGTCTAAAGGAATATTTCTGCTGCCACACATTTTGTGTCTCTATGCAGTCAAAACACTACCACGGCAATGCCCTCTACGGCCACGCAAAATTCACCTAGCTCGCGCTATGCCCTCCAACTGAGTAGCTAACATGACGATCTCATGGAGTTTAACCGGTCAACTTAAGTATTAGTCTGATCAAATATCTTAGAGATTATTTCCTGTGCGTATGTAATTAAGTTTCTACATTATAACGTCCTTCGGTAAACCGGTTATGTTTATGAAAACTACTTTCTGGCTGGCTGCCAGCTGGCTCTACATAAGAAAAGCATGCAGAGAGCCTGGCCTGTGCGAAAGTGACACTCATGCCGCGAAGTGAAGTGATTTGAAAGTCACAAGGTGACTTCACAGTAGCTGGCTCTATTTAAGAAGAGCAGGTAAACTGCCTGGCCAGTGCGGGAGTGATACTCATGCCACGAAGTGAAGTGATTTGAAAGTCACAAGGTGACTTCACGGTAGCTGGCTCCATATAAG